AAGTCTCGTGAACATTTTCACTATTTTGACATTTTTATAGATGAAAATTGAACTAAAGAAATAAATGGTAGATTAATCCATATTGAAAATAGGTGTCAGCTGCTACACTAATTATAATAGTTATATTTCTTAATTAATTAAGATAAGATATTACTGTATTGATCCCAATTTGGGAAATGTTTGTGTTGCAGCAGCATAACAAGAAAAACAAAATATAAGTTATTATATATACAAAAGTATGTGAGGGATGGAATATTAAATTGAATATAAATGTAAAATGTACATGTGATTTTACGTCCAAGAGAAGCTATGGAGCAGAGAGTTCTCTGCCAGCCAGAGGTGATTTGTTATTAGTTCAATATGTCAAACTGATTTCCCTGACTACAATCTTTAGTTACATGGTGAAACGTTATGCTGCTTGTACTAATTACACTTATCATATAAGCCACACAGGTTTTAATAGGATATATTCATTATCTTTACTTATGTTGCGGTATTCTCAGCAGCGCCATCTCTAAAACGGCGATACAGTCACTACCCATCATTTACATTTCACCGTGACATGGACAAAAATGTAACGTCAGCTTACCTCATGGCACGAATCCAGACTCTCCTTTGGAAAACATCGGCCGGGAAACGATAGAACAAGCACGTTTCATGCGAAGACCTGTGGCTGCAACCCGGAGCAAAGCAACAAACCATTGCGTAGCTAACTAGTAGCGCTAGCTTTAGCTAACGTTAGCTAACGAAACGAACCGCAGAGTAAAATTGGAAAACACTGGTAATTAATTATTCTATCATTTGTAAAACTACGGTGTTAAAAACGACAATTTCAAAAATGCAGATTCTAATGGTCAGATATAGATATACAGATACTAAAGATATGCAGGTACTTGCTTTCAAGAAGAACACAGGGGGAAACAAATTTAGCGGGAGTGTTTACGTGTTCGGCGTAATGACGTAAAACGGCCTCGACAATTTCTGTAGTCCTATTCAGCCACTCGGTAACAACCATCGTTTTTCAGACACGTAAACTCTTCAAAAATCCCCAGTGGGGTCACTGCTGATGTATTTAATGTTGTAGAACAAAACGTGATTATCTCTTAAATTTGTGTCAACCACAGACCTTATTTCGAGCTATTTTCCAAAACCCTATGGAAAAAATGCATTGCTTTTTGAGGAAGGAACCGGAAGTGCTAAAAATGCTAACTTACTGCCGGGTTTTACGACGCGTCACTGCGTTTCTCTATTGGGCAGAGAACGAGTCCGAGAAAGTTAACTCCCCCATGTGACGTAATATGACGCGTTTGACGTATGACGTCCTCTGAATTCCCGCCCTTATGTCTTGTAAAACATATCAAATCCCGCATTAACATTTTTAATTGTAATTTTCAGGCAAGGTTAAGCATAAATGTAGTAAAAAAAAATAATCCTGCAAGTTGCTCTTTAACTGCATGTAAAATGCAGAATCAATTTCATAAGGGAAACACTACTTCCACAATTCTATTAACATAACTTAGTATTTAACTGATACTTCTTCATCATAAAAAAGGGTGCTACTAAAGGTCAAACATTATGCCTTTTAGGGGGAAAACATGCAAATGTGGACTTCTAACTGGGCTGGGCTCAATTACAACATATCTGTGGTGTACTAAACAAAACTCACTAGCCTCCTATTTTTGTTTTATGGCACTGATCCATTTCAGTTGTGCAAATATTCTGCTTAACCTCCCAAAGGAATCCTGAGAATATATAATTGAAATGTAGATAATGCACATTTTGGCTAGTTATAAATGAACCGGTTTTCTTTTGTCCTCTAAAGACATCAGTGGTTGTTGAGGTTGCACACAAGAGAGAGAAAACCTTTTCAAGATTAACAAACAACCCGAGGCGACAACAGCTTCAGGCCAACACAAAGAGGAAGAGAGATTTGGGGGAGTTGCAGTCAGTGTAACTCACCCCGGTCCTTTCATCCACTATTCTCAGGCCGCTGGAGGAAACTTTCAACCAGACTCTCTGCTTGTGTCTCCCCTGCTTCCTCGCTGCCGCCTCAAAGCCCTGGCACACAAAAAAGAATGTTGAGTTATTTAAAATGGGAGAGAACCTATACTGTTAGTTTAAGGGCAACATTTTCATATTTATACTGATGAAATGTTGTATTAAAGCTATGTGTAGAATCGTTTTCAATTGACTGTTGGCCAAAACTCTCCACTGCATATTTGATTGTGTAGACACCATCACCGGGGGGCGCCAAATCGTCAAACTAGCTAACAGTTTTTTACTACACTGATCTTGTTATGCGCCTGTGGATCATGTTTTTTTCTAAGATGTTGCTGTACCCTATGATACACTCCCACTGTATCGGGGAACATCCTGTGAGATGACAGGGCCTGAAGCCACTGACATATCGGAGGAGCAATAGGTCAAATATCAGAAGCCTTTTTTTACGAATGTTCCCACAACTCCCTTTTCCATCCAAGAAACCATGCGCATTTGCTTTCATTTATATAAATACCTGTTACAAGGGTAGAATTGTTCAATGAGCATCAATCATCAACTTTGAATTAGTCTTAAACAATTCAATATATTTATCTTTTTTTGACACTGCTCCACAGAACAAAAATATCTTTGTGGAAGGTACCAGTTTTGTAAAATAGAAAAATATCTATTTCTAGAAAAAAAGCCCTCTAAAAAGGACTTAACAAACCACTGAGAATATATATTTTAATCTCACTTGTCATGTGATATATTTTCCTCCTTAATTAAATGACTGCAGTTTGAATATAGGAGACAGAGGTATGTTTTTTCTGGCTTTTTCTGACCTTTAGCTTCATCATGGAGTCCCAGCACATCTTGTGTCCCGGGGCGTCCGGCACATGGTCCACACCGATGAGCTTGGCTTTGTAGCGGACCCCGTCTCCAGAGAAACGGGAGGGGGGGTGGCTGGGTGCCCCTGGGAATCATAAAGACGTGAAAAAAGGGTTAAACGAGGACAAATCTGTGTGAGAGGAAGGAAAAGCACGTCTGTGTATATTTGTGCTTCTTAGTTGTGTCTTAAATATGTTTGTGTGTCATAATCTGATTAAAATTGGTGTACTTGTGTTTTTAATATGTTTACCTGTGGGTTTGTACAACGTTTTCGTGTGTACATATTTGTGTGTGTTTGTAAATGGATAATACAAGTTTGTTAGTGTTTATGTGCCAGCGGTGCAGATAGTGGGGGGGTATACGTCCCCCACAGTTTCATAGGGACACTGACCCGTCCCCCCGATTTAAAGTAATATATATATTATATTTTTTATTATCTTAAAGGTAAATACCGATTCATTTGTTAATCCACATACATACTTATATTGTATTATATTTGATCTTGAAACAGTTCATATTTGAGCGTACGGTTAATGTTACTTATGATTGTAAAACACATAATAAATCCCGGTCAAATGCACGCTGAAGGCTCTTTGAGCAGCTTTTCACTCACTGATTGTGCTGTTATGTTAAATGTTTGTTGTTTGATTTTCATGTATTTTTGTCTGGATATTTGTCTGTGGATGTTGGACATGGAGCTGCTGTGACGCAAGTCAAATGTCAGACTTGATCTGACAAATAAAGTAATATCGTATCGTATAATAAATCAATGGTAAGTAAATATTGTGAAAATAATTTCTCTCAGTTTCGTCCACCCGATTTCAAAAATCTCATCTGCGCCCCTGTTATATGCTTACGATGTGTTTTCTGTGTGTGTAGGCAAATAGCTGAATGAGCGTTTTACTGATGCTTGGTCAATGTTTCATCTCATTTCCTGGAATGAAAACAGTAATTGAGTGCTTATGAAAATGTCAGTATGCTTGTTGTAACAAAGGTCGCCTCTTAAACAGCTTCACTAACGTTGTGAAAGAGTTTACTGGATTTTGTAGTCAATGGTTAGTTTAATGTTCAGCAGAAATACATTTGTGTTTCAGAGTTCAAAACAAAGTGAGGGAACTGAGCTGGTGATTGTCAAAGGCTAAATTACCTCTAAAATGAATGGAGATATTTGTATTCATACACAGGCTTCTAGTTTGATTATAGTTACATTTTAGCTTAGGCATCAACACATAACTGTTACATTTAACCTATTATTCAAAACTTTGTGAGATGTCAGGTTTAGAATGTTGAACACTTTAAATAAAAATGCGTTAACTATATCATCCTACTCAAAATTCAGAGACAACCAACATACAATGAGAGTACAGCATCTGAGTTCTGAAGATTTTTTAGGCTTCAAAAATCCAATAATTCATCATCGAAGTATGACTACTGCATGTTTATTGCACGTTTTACAAGCGCAACATTGTGATCATATTCTCATAAAATCATAATTGCTCATGAATGGTTAACACTGATGTGTTTAAAATGGATTGTGTTAGATTTTAGAAGCTTTTGGACACAAGAGGAAACAGCTCTGTGGACAAACCGCATGTTTGCAAATACTTTAACATATGTTAGTTTTGGAGCAAATGTAGCTGTATTCACACCAGATAAACATTTATAATGTTGGAAATGTGTTAAAGGGTTTCCAGTCAGACACTGACATCAACAGTATTTTTCTAAACAACTGCAACAGCTGCAGAGAGGTGCATCAAGGAGGAACAAGGAAAACAAACCTGAAAACACTCCTGCTTCCCATCAGATATTAATAAACTCAGACAGACCAGGACACATACTGTACTGTATAGTAAGATTTAGTGTCCTTATTTAAAAGAAAATATCAAATGTATATGCATGTGTGCTCTTTTTTCTCTCAAATTAATTAACTTTAAACAAGTTTATATCACAACAAGAAAATAATAAGAATAAGAAGGGTCTAAGCAGATGCAAAGAGATACACATTTTGAATGTCTATGTTCAGGCAGAGGTGAGAGTCAGAGGTAAAACATGTGAATAAATGCAAATTGGGAGGCACAAATGAAAACAAGATCAAGTATGTCGTATGCAAGAATCTGATGTGTTGACGCATTGTCTGTTTTGTTAAGCAAACTGCACACACAATGCAGTGGCCAAACTTTTATAAAGGACTCTGCACCCCCAGACATTTCTGTGGCCGGAGTGGGACAGAGAAAATCGGAAAATCTCAGAAGCTACAACTGAAAGATTGTTGTTAACAGACAAGTTAAAAATGTGGTAAATTGAGGGTTAGTTATATGCCCACTGACAGTTATTGAGAATAATAGCTGCTCTGAAACTGTTTTGTGTTTAAGTGATTTTGAAAATATTAAGGTTATGAAGTTTTGTCTGTGTAGATTAACAATCTAACTAAGTTCTTTTTCGTTTTTTCTTAAAAATATGAACAAAAGTAAGGCCAGACAAGTATAGAATAAAACATAATTATTTGAATTAGCCTGCTAAACTATGTCCAGGTAAAATGTAAGGAACTGTGCATTTAGCAGGTGCTGAAAGATTGCTTTTCTCTGGTCAGATGTTGCCACTTCAGTCAGAAGGCAAAACTCTGAGCTTAATTTTTTTTGAGAACCAATCGGGACAGTCAACAGCAGTGGAGCACTGTACCTCTGGAGCTGGAGGAGAGCCAGCTCCTGACAGGAGTTTGGTCCGGGGCAGGACAACTCGCAGCCATTTGCTCCGTCTCCATCATGGCGAGATCTGTTTGGAAATTGAAGGCTAGGAGGCTTCAGGATGCAGTGACAGCAATGAGTCACACTTTGTTTCCTGCAAGGGGGAAAAGACAGATTTGTTGATGTAAAGAAAAATGTCAAAATGCAAAGAAAAATCGTCTCCAGATATCAGCAACATTTGTAGTAAAAGAGAAACAGTTTGATGGGCTCACCTGTGGGAGAGTGTCTCTGCTCTGACCCCGCTGCTTGGCTCAGCTCACAGCAGAAATTTTACAGAGTCAAAGGTCAGGCTGCACACTCACTGGTGATATATTAACATCCTCTGGGAGTCCCGAATACATGGGAACTCATGTGAGAGACTTAAGAGACTCTGATAGGGAGGATAGTGAGTGTACATGGTGCTGTCCCTCTGTGGGGTTCAGCGTGAGGTCATGTGTTTCCCTCAAAGACTGCCTATGGGTGATATTTCTTAAAATAATGGATGAACACAAGTTTTCTGGCTGCCTAATAAAGATCAAGCTATCTGAAAACTTTTGCAGAAAGTATAGTTGAGAGGAACCAGAACCAGTCTATAAAGTGCTGTTTAAAGTAAACAACAACAATTAAATATTTATTTAAAAGGGCTATGATATGGGGTTCATGAACCAGTCAGAGGAAACGTCTGGCTCCAGAAATGATTAACTTGATGATGCTGGATATTGTCTCTTGTGTACTAGAGATGTTTTTAGTTGCTTTGTGAAATAATACAGAGCTTTGCTAAGTGACTTATTCATGTATCATTGACTTTTGGCTTTATAAAGTTACTGTCTCTACTTAAGTGGTCATTAGTTTTGGCACTTTTGTGTTGACTTCCTCTCTTAGCATCAGAGGGTGCCGCTTGGGTATTAGGTAAAAAAACATATTGGACAAATTCTAAATTTCACCCGATGATCTAGTCAGGTTATACATTTTTTTTTTACATTTTCTCCAGAGTAGAACATTTTAGTCCTTAGTGTGGATGAAGCTCATAAAACTCTACAGATCCTACACTTCCAATAATGCAACTTAAGGAAATATCTCATTGACCCCTCTTACAGCTATGGCAAATCCCCTCTTTTGTCAAACTGTCCAAGTTGGTAGTGCAAGTTATCTGTTAAAAATGCAATTCTCAATTCAAGCCGAGATACGATAATACTGATGACGTCACTCTGACATCATCCTCGTTATTATCTCATACTTGACGAATATCCTCCAGGGTCACAGTAGACGTTACTGCTTCACAGGCCGACTTGTGCTTCTCATGATGAGTCAACATGAGTGAACAGTTATCAAATCTGTTCTTTAGAGCGCCATTGTCTTTTAGTCTATCAGCAATGTTTGCACTACCAGTCTTTTGCTGAGTTAAGCTTCTTATCTAACTCTTGGAGAGAAAACACATATCTGCATTTAAACATATTATTTTTAATCCACCAATATGAATTATTCCTCACTGCCTTTTTCTTTCATATAGACAGAAATGTTGCCTAGAATGACCGTTTAGGATCTCACAGAGAAAGAAGCTGTTCTGTTGAGAAAAGTCTATGCTGCCGTCTCTCTCTCTTATCTTCAGGCCCTCCGCTTTAGAGGGATCAAAATGCAAGTGATGCATTCTCAGATAAATATTTATGAATCCGATCACTTGTTGTGACTTGTTAGCAAATAGGTTTCTCTGCATGTAGAAACATATTTCTCAGGAAGCACAGCTAATGTTTAAAATCCCCCAGAAAAAGGAAAGGGTTCATGTCAGATTAAACGTGACTTTCCCTGAAATCTCCTCTAATTTAAAGGGAATCCTCTAAAATCAAAACAATATGCAAACCCAGACCATTTAGCTCAATTGGCAGAGGCTTTAGTAACCTGAGGCCATGAAATAACAGATTTAATCCACTTTGAATAAAAAATAAAGAAGGTAATCTACATGAACTTTTCCTGTCAGCACAGCGCTGACGGGGTTTCAAGTTTCTGTTTTAAAAACAACAACTGTGGGATAACGGTTAAAGCCACATTTCCCAACAGTGATAGTGAAGAAGTAAAAAAATGTGTCTCAAACAGTTGAGCTTCAATGATCTGTAACCAGGATTTATAAATGTGTGTGTGTTGGCTGCTTTACCAACAAGATGGAGCCAATTTCCGCCAATACTTGTTTAAAGGGCCCATGTCATGCTTTTCCGGTTATTACCAGTCCCTTTGTGTGTTATGAAGGTTTTTATGCATGTAAACGGTCTGCAGAGTCAAAACCCTCAAAGTACACCCTGTAGCGAGTAGAACTCTAACACAGAAAATACCTGTCTATGCTGCCCCAGAACACCTCGTTGGAGATTTCTCATTTTCCATTGTTTGCTTCCTGGGTTCTCTGACGTGTGAACACCGAAATCATAAATTACCGGATTGGCCCAAATGGACCAATCCGCGGAGCACCTCACACACCAGGACCCCTTGGCTAACTAACAGGGAGTCCCCATTGACTTGCATAGAGCTCCCTGAACGCTGGTAATAGACGAGTTGGGATCACGGTGAAATGCTCTCCACAGACCCATTCTCACAGCGTTATAATCAACCTTTTTCTTACTCAATATCATGGATCATAAATACAGTTGAGGCCTACATTATTAGCC